GTTTTAGGTTTGTAGTGTTTGGGTTTGATGTTTGTATTTGGGGTTTTAAGCGCGTAGGTTAAATACGTATCGACGAGCGCGTTCAAGTTTCAGACGTTGGAATAGGTATAGGAGAATGCTGGAAACATGCATCGTGTGCCTGAGAGAAGCTTGAGTGGTCAACCGCCTTGAAAGGAATGCGCCACGTTACCAGATTCTCATCCCAGCGTTGGCAGACCATTTGAGACAGATTGCAATGGATGTGAGACATATGAAGATGTAAAGACCGTGCTCTTAGCGCAGGTCAGTTGATATTGTGATAGTGTGGAGTGAAGGATGAAAGGAAAGGGAAATCTAGGCTACTGTCCATAATGCCTAGCATTTTCAACTCAGACGCAAGCAGCAGTAGAAAATCCGAAATGGATTCTAAGTGTTGTAGCTTGAGTTAAAACTCAACCTCCAAAGGGGGAACCAAAAAAATCATTTTCTAAGCTCTCATGACCACAGTTGCCATGAAAGGAAATGCACAAAACGAGAAGTGTAACAAGTGGGAACTGCACACCACATTACATACATGTGGTGAACCTCATTTTTTTACCTTGAGGCCTTGCGGTTCAAAACAAAGGGATGCCCGTGCGATTTCAGGTTGGTCTTTTGCAATATGAAAGAAAGTGCAAATGCCGGATAACATGTCAGAAAATATGTCAGAAAAGTGTCACTTGGTGGGGATCACTCGAAGAAAGTAATTCACCCCGCTTCGCGTGGGGTGGCCGCCCACACCGCAGGTTTATTTCGGTCCGTGAGAGGGGCTAAGGGTGGTGTGGAATATGAGGAGCAGAGCAGCACAGGAGAATTGACATACATAACTGCTGGGTTCGTGAATATTTTTTTAAGTGGACGCTCTCCAAGCTGCGGAATTTCAAATAGCTAGACAACGACGCCTAGATAGTCCCCCAAATCCCGTGTTCTTTGAATGTGTTTCCATGTTTTTGCAATGGTTTCCTTCAAAGCACGGTGCTTTACACTTTTGTCGCCATAAAACCGGTCGAAAACATCATGTTCGACAATGCTTCCAATTGGGGCTTCCCAAGCTAAGCAATTTTCACTTTTCCCCCCCGTAGAGGCTTCCCAGGCGAGAATTTTCACTTTTCCCCCCGTGGAGGCTTCCCAAGCTAGGGAATTTTCGCTTTTCCCCCCGTGGGGGCTTCCCAAGCGAGGGAATTTTCACTTTTCCCCCGTGGGGGCTTCCCAAGCTAAGAATTTTCACTTTCCCCCCCCGTGGGGGCTCCCCAAGCTGGGGAATTTTCACTTTTGCCACCCGTGGGGGCTTCCCAAGCTAGGGAATTTTCACTTTTCCCCGCCGTGACAGCTTCCCAAGCTATGGAATTTTCACTTTTCCCTCCCTTGGAGGCTCTCCAAGCTGCGGAATTTCAAATAGCTAGACAACGACGCCTAGATAGTCCCCCAAATCCCGTGTTCTTTGAATGTGTTTCCATGTTTTTGCAATGGTTTCCTTCAAAGCACGGTGCTTTACACTTTTGTCGCCATAAAACCGGTCGAAAACATCATGTTCGACAATGCTTCCAATTCCCTTATTTCCCCAACCGTTGAAAATACCGCTATTTACAGTGTTTTCTTCAATTTTTCCATGTTCCAATGCCGGTAGCCAACTCCAACATATATATATATATATAAGAAATCCTTCCAAAACATTGTTTTTGACAGTGTTTTTCCAATGTTTCCAGTCAAACAGACGGTAATTTACACGTTTTTTGCCATAAAGGCAGTAAATCCTTCCAAAACATTGCTCTTGACGGTGTTTTTGTAATGTTTCCAGTCGAGCATACGGTAATTTACACGTTTTTTGCTATAACGTCAGTCCAAAACACTTGTTTTTGCAATGTTTTCAATGCTCTGGCATCCAAAAACCCTGCAAAATCTTGCTATGTACAATGTTTTTTCATTTTTGGCCGTTTTTCCATTGCCGGAAAGTTACCAAAATGACCCAAAATTCCATTTCAATACCCTCTTGCGCTCAGACACCCAAAAATCCTCGAAAAATGTCGAAAACACCACCGAATTGTGGTTTCGGTGCGAAACCGTTTTTGCCCCCCCCAGCTAAAGCTGATATAGCGACTGCTATATTAACAAATGTGATTGAGCATTTAGTGTAGCTGTTTCCCCCCCCCAATAAGCACGCCTTCACCGCCAAAGCGGTGTGGGCGGATTTGTTCCGAAGGCTTTCAAAAATTGATTTAAGACATTGTGAGGCCCCGCATGCATCATCGCCATCATCAGCAACGGTAGAGGGATCAAGCATTTGATCTGGGATTCTTTTGTTTCATTTTTGTTTTGCCCTTTGGCTGTGGTGACGCATTTTGCACCGATACGTTTCTACAAACAAACGATGCTACCGCACAGAAGCCTTTACCCACAGCAGCTTTTACACGCCGATATTCTTACACAGAGAGGTTTGTTGACAAAAAACTTTGTACACAGACGCCTTTGCACACAGAGGTTTTCACGCAAAGAAGGACGTATTTACACAGATGTTTTGTACAAAGATGTTTTTGCGCTGACAAAAAAGTCGCATAGGTGTTTGTGCACACAAAAACCATTTCCACAGAGAAACCTTTGCACAGAACAGTTTTAACACATGTTTTTTACACAAAAAACATTTGACACAGAGAAACTTGTACACACAGACTGCACACAAAAGTTTTTACAGACCGACTTTTTTGTACGCAACAATTTACCCAAATAACAATTACACAGCATTTTTTTTTTCGCACGGAAACCTTTACGCAGAAAAACATATTCACAACAGTTTTTACAGACAGACGGTTTTTACACAGAAAATTTTCCGCACAGAAGACCTACGACAGAAGGTTTTACGCACAACATTTTTTACATACAGACGCTTTTACACACAGATGTCTTCACACAGACACAAATTGCACACAGAAACTTGTGCACACAGCACGCGTTTACACACAACCAATTTTTACACAGAGAGGCTTTGCTTCCCCTTCTTGATCACCTACCTTTCGTGTTCCCCCTCTCAATTTTTTTTTGCGGTTGTTCAAACAGATGCTGACGTCCGAGAAACCCAGAACTGTCAAAATCGTTGATGAAAATAACTATGTAACGCACTAATTTTCACAGCTGCTTCCTATGAACGTGACAACGGAGAGTGGCCTTGGAGGAACTATTGTGTTGCCTGACGGAACGAAAAAAAAAAAATAATATATATATTTCTTCATTGACAGTGGACGAAACCTTGCTGTCATATTTGGGTGACCACCATAAGAAACAAATCATCTTTGCAACTGAGACGTTGGCGTCCGTGGTTGCTCTCAAATTGTGGTCTCCGAGACTGGATTGCCTAACATGTCTGTTCTTTGTCGACCATGAAGGTAGCAAATTCTCGCTTTTGAAAGGTTGTTCTGATATAACAAGTTGGTCAATGCACTTGCAACATATTTTGTAAAATTGGGATGTCAATGCTATATTGCTCTGTGGCTGTCAAGAGTTCCATCAAAAAACAATATTGCAGACGAGACTTCGCGTGGTGTTAGTGCTGGATTGCTGAAACGTGGTTTCTAAGACGAGTCAAAGCTGGCGAGCAAAATTGTGTTTGAAATCATTTGTTGATATGATGTGGGGAAGAAAGGCCAACTGTGATGACTTCAACCAAAGTGGAAAAGAACGAGAGTCTGCAATCTTCTGCTTGCGTGTTGTTCCACTTAAGATGTGTATTTTTTGTTTTTGTGACTGTTTTGTTAGATATTTGGAGAAAGTGGTGGAGACATGCGTAATTTCCACCAACATTTAGCAAACAAATACAATTACTTGCATGGAATCAACAGTTCAATAACGAAAACCGTATGTTGTGTCCATGTGTTCACATTGCGGTTTCCCATTTGCAGTATTTGGGAGAGAACTACGAACGTGCTGATTTTTCACAAAAGGCCTTTTCCCTTCAAGTCCCTTGCGCTAAACGAAACTTTGGGATGTTTAGTTTCTTACAGTACATGTTTGCGACATGTTTTGGATTTTTTGTTGCGAAATCAATGTGTTTTCTTGTTTCTGTTTTTGAAACCGATTGACGCTCATTGATTTGCTTGGTTGCATTGTCTTGATGGGAACACCGTCTTTTGTCCCAGTTGAATGTGCAATTATCGTTTTTTTTTGCCAAACGTTGTTCGCCGGTGGTGTCTGGGAAACCTAAATGGATGAAAAATATACTTTCCACCGGAGCGCTGGTCTGGCAATGTGGTATACTGTACCATTTCACTTCTTGATTTTTTAAACATAAATACTAAATTAGACTTTAAAACCGTAGATTTCGGATATGCCCGATTTTGACATCATCCTGTTGGCACATTGGATCTCTCACCCCCGTTCCCCCGATCATATTCAATTCCCTACCTCGCCCCCCCAAAGTTGTTGCAGTGTGCGGATTGACTCGCACCATCATGTTTTGTTTTCCCGGCCCTTAGCACGTGCAACAGCACTCGTGTTGCCAGGGATTCTAGCTTGTGTCACTCAAGTGCCAGATGTGAAACTAAACCACGGCTGCATTGCTGCTGTTTTTAACCAACATAAATTGATGCCCAACAGTGCCACTTCATCGTTATCATCATCGGTTGGTCTTACATGGCACTTACAGTAACTTCTTCACTCTCCATTTTTGGCCACCTACTTTTTTTTTTAAGTTGTCTCTCTAGTTGGCCAAACAACCTTTAGTTTTGATTTCCATGCCATGATTTCATGAAATTTGGAAAGCAATCCCGATCTGCGTGGGAAACAGGCATCACACGTTTTGTCGCATGGCTCATAGCTCTAAGGGGCGTCCAAGCCAATCATCACGTTGGCTGTGTTCTCCCCGTCTCTTTTCCCTTTGTGTGGAACTCGGATTGCCAAACTTCGTTGTCTGTTGGAACCGCTGATTGGAATCGCCGGTACCCGACGTTAATCAAAGGCGCAGTTCAACAGATCATCGATCAGCAACCCATGAGGTTCTCGCCCACTTGCTCAGCCTGTGCCTTCCAGCTGGTGCCGGAGCAGTTCAGGCACTGAGACACTTGCATCCCCTCATCAAGTGGGAAAGGGCACGTTTTTTTTTTGGTTCATTTTCCCAAGTCCAACATATGAAATCGACCTTGTTTGACACCTTGTTTGACAGTCTGACTGCCGAGGATTTGAGAGGAAAGAGTAAGGTGATGGAATCTTTGGAAACCTTGAAAGATCAAGCACACCAAATCCAAGCATTGCGGCCAGGGCCTGCTTTTTCTATGGCGAACCAGCAGAGGCGAAGCCAGCCAAGAGCAGCAGGCGCCTGTGGCTCCCAGGCTACAAATTGTGTAGATCCCGCAGATTTATAAAGACATATGAGTCTGAGTATCAGTATGATGAGGATGATGATGATGATGATGATGATGAAAATTTCCTTCGGAAACATCTGCGTCTGTTCCGTTTTGCAAGTTTTGTTGCAAGGTATATACCTGTGCAGTTTTCACATTTTTTGCTTATATTACTATATGCATGGTAAGGAAACACATTAGCAACAGCAGGTTTGTTTGGGTGACCTTACATCTTTCTGGCTGAAAACCACCCGCTTTGAACAATTAGTTTTGTTATGTTTTGTTTGTCTTGATTTGAAAAATTGGACTCTAAACACAGTTCTCATGACCAGGTGAGGCGAGGGCAGTTGGCGGCCGTCCCGATGGACCTGATGTCAACAAAGACCGCTTGGTGCGCTGCGATGGGGAATTTCTGCTTTCAATATATATATATATACATACATACATACATACATACATATATATATACATACACATGTACCTTTTAATCAAAATCACATTTCAAGACAGAAATAGGTCCGTTTCAACAACCGCACATTCTTTTTCCGTTTCTTGATCCAACGCTGTTTTTGGACCGCCAGATCTTCTGCATCACAAGTCTCATCGGCCAAAAAGTGACCGCATCCTTGAGAAACAATGCCTTGATCTCAGAAAGGGTTGGGGCGTTGTCAATTGGAACCGAAGTTAATGCAAACCAAAAAGGTGGTACTGACTGCAGCATTGCTGCAGCACTCTGGCTTTTATGTGACCAGTCGGCTTTGAAGGGTCTTTCTTTTTCTGAAGAATATTTTCCTGAGTCAACAGTGCCACGTTGATTGAGGTTCAGTACGAGGGCATGTTTCACAGGCACAGCTCTCAATATACCTTACACCTAGTGTACGATGTATATGGTATACACTATTCACCAACTCACAGTGCTGAGCCCTTACAGTTTTGTCAAATTTGGATGCTCTAGTAGACTCTAGTATCAGATCAACTGTCACACTTTGGCGTTGCATCAGTTGGAATTTGTTCATTGCTCTACACCATTCTGAACCTCTCAGTTGTGCTCTCGACGGCGACTACTCCATTACTTTGAAGAGTGCCCGAAGGTCGAGATTTGGCTTGAAGATTGAAAAATATGGGATGAAACACAGGAACACATAGTTAGCTTAGAAGTTCAATTCAGATAATTTTACATTGGTTTGATCATTTTGATCGCTGGATCAAACCATCTTCACCTTTGTGGAGGGCACCTGGAGGGATTGCCCAACCAGGCTTTTTTCGGACACCCAGAGTCGGAGCGCGGAGGTCGTAGCTTGGCCGCAGAGGTTTCACAGGGCAGTCGAGCGCCGAGCAATGACCCATGTTGCTTGATGGTTAGAATGGGAATTATTTACTGTATATGAGTCATATGGGTATATTTTAGTCTATTGTTAGTATTAATCATCTAATTATTGGTGTTCCCAATTTTGACCCATAGCCATATACAGTGTATGCATGTATGCTATGGACGATGGAGATCCTTTTCAGCCAGCCAGGAGAAGGGGATGATTTAGGGTTTTGGGCACTGCTCAGGGTTGAAGTGATTTGTCCGAGGTGCCGACTCTGCTTATTCCTGGTAAGGACTTTCTACAGGCCTTGCCCCGTGGCTGTGCGACAAGATTTTTTTTTTTCGGCAGAAGCCTGGTTGAGGCGGATGCACTTGGGGGATTTGTCCCAACATATGAAAACCCCATGTTACCCATCTGGTTGCCATCTTTGGGGGATGAACATACATCCAACAGCTATTTTGGTGTTCAGGGCACCAAGGTTTGATCCATCCCTAGATGGGTAAAGCCAGATCTCCGAATGTGTCAGGTCTCAGCCATGAACGTGCCACCACCCTCTCCAGCCGAAGAAGGTACGAATCTGTGAGTGTTTTGAAGTCCACAGGCCATGCTGAAGCCTTTCCCATGTCTGTAGGCCGGAAAGGCTTTGCCACCGATGCTGAAATCAGCAGGACGGAAAGCTCTATTCGTGGCCAGCTTGCGCTGCCAGGAATAATTCTTGTGTGTTTGTCTTGATCCAGCTCTCAGACAAGGGTTGCTGACATGTTCTCTTGACCAGCATGTGAAAGCTTGTCTCTTGCGTCTGCGTGCTACTCTGGAGAGGTGAGGTCCGTAGCTTTTTAGGTTCAGTGACAGGAAAAGGACACAACAAAACAAGCAACAAGAGCCACAAGTGCAACAAGAGCCGCAAGAGCAACAGGAGCAGCAGCAACAACAACAACAAGAAGAACAAGAACAACAACAAGCACAAGAACGACAAGAAGAGGCCCAAAAACAAAAAACAACAACATCAACAGCAACAATGACTTTGAGACCATCGAAACCGCCTTGAATACTTCGTTTTCTTTGTTGTGATTCATATAAGTGCAAACATGAGTGTATCCGACAGTCAGTCTCGCGACCAGGGTGTCCAGGAAATTGTGTTGGATTTGGGGAGATTATCGCAGGCCGCAGCCAGGTCTTTGCCATGTGGCATGGCTTCGGCAAATTCCAGGCTTCGTCATGGTTTGGAGTCAATATCAGACCTCGCATCAACTTGGGAAGGGTGACAGGCTATCCAGACCTGGCTTCAAGATAAGATCATGCTTGATTTGGGGATAAAAGTGAATGGAAGTGACTTCTGAGTCTTCTGAGTCGCCGATGAAATTCTGTTGCCATACCTTCAAATCCAAACGAGTTTGGAAGATGAGCGATGAACCCATCAGGTTCAGACGATCCAAGGGCACGACGGGAAGTGCCGCTGTTGCAGTCAACGCCGGCACCCTATTGGCTGCCAAGCCTGTGGAAGGAGGCTGGGATGTGATCAGTGGCGAAGATGCTCCCTGGCTGACTCCATTTGAACTTTGCAAGAGATTTACCACTTTTGTCTTTTTCTCTCATACTTTTTCTTGCAGGAAAATGTTCTTTGCGCGGGCCCTGTATGAATATGGGGCCCTTGTTTTTTTGACCCCCCACCTTGTTTTTTTGACCCCCCCCTTGTTTTTTTGACCCCCCACCTTGTTTTTTTGACCCCCTGTTTTTTAAACCCCCTAACCTTGTTTTTCTGACCCCCCACCTTGTTTTTTTTGACCCCCTGACCTTGTCTTTTTTGACCCCCCACCTTGTTTTTTTGATCCCCCACCTTGTTTCTTTGACTCCCCACCTTGCTTTTTTGACCCCCTGGATCTGCTTTCCGGACCCCCATGAAATTCATTAAATTCCTTGGGATTGATATGTTGTTTCCGCGGCAGGTTTTGGATTTTTTTTTGTTCCTGGTTCTATTCTTTCCTGCTTCTCTGCTTTTCTGCTGTTCTGCCGTTCTGCTTTTCTGCTTCTTTGCTTCTCTGCGTTTCTGCTTGTCCGCCTTTTGCTTTTGCTGCTTCTCTGCTTGTCTACTTCTCTGCTTTTCTGCTTTTTGCGTTGCCTGCTTTTTGCTTTTCCTGCTTCTCTGCTTTTCATGCTTCTCTGCTTTACCTGCTTCTTTTCTTTTCTGCTTCTCTGCTTTTCTGCTTTTGTGCTTCTATTCCTTTCTACTTCTACTACTACTACTATTCTACTTTTTCTTTTCCTCAGTCATGCGTTTTTGCCGCTCTACTTCCTGCTCCTCTGCTCCTCTGCTTCTCTGCTTCCTGTCTTTACTGCCTATTTGTTTTCTTTCGTTCATTTTGCTTTATTCTTTCCTGTGTGTATCCTACATTAAACCCTAAAGACCCTAAAGAAACCCTAAAGCAACCTTAAATGAAACCTTAAAGAAACCGTAACCTTAAATGATACCATAAAGAAAACCTAAATCAAACCCTAAATGAAAACCTAAAGAAACCCTGAATGAAACCCTTAATGAAATCCTCAAGAAACCAACATGAACGTGTGAAAATCTTGATAAGAATTCCTGATAAGAAACCCCACATAAAACCCTAGATTAAACCCTAAATGAAACCCTAAAGAATCCCTTAATCAAACCCTACAGAAACCGTAAAGAAACCCTAAATGAAACCCTAAAGAAATGTAAATCCTAAAGAAACCCTAAATGAAACCCTAAAGAATCCCTAAATGAAATCCTAAAGAATCCTTAAATGAAACACTAATTCTTTTGCTTTATTCTCTCCTGTTTACCCTAAATGAAACCTTAAGGCCCTAGGTAAAACCCAAAGAAACCCTAAAGAATTCCTGCTAAGAAACCCCTACACGAAACACTAAATGAACCCTAAAGAAACCACAAATTAACCTAAAGAAACCATAAATGAAACCCTAACGAAACTTTGAATGAAACCCTAAATGGCATCCGAAAGAAAATCTAAACGACACTCTAAAAAACTCTGAATGAGAAACCCTACATGGAACCGGACCTGAAACCCTGAAGAACCCGTAAACGAAACCCTAAATGAAACACTAAAAAAACCCTACATGAAACCCTAACGAAACTTGGAATGAAACCGAAAATGACATCCCAAAGAAGCCTAAACGACAGTCTAAAAAACTCTGAATGAAACCCTAAATGGAACCCAAACTGAAACCCTGAAGAACCCGTAAACGAAAACCCTAAATGAAACCTTAAATAAACCCTAAGAAACCCAAAAAAGACCTTAAACCCTAAAGAAACCCTAAATGAAACCTTACATGAAACCCTAAAGAGGCCCTAAATGAAACCCTGACTGAAACCCTAAATAAATTCACATGAACGTTTGAAAACCCTGATGAGAATTCCTGATAAGAAACCCTACATAAGACTCTAAAGTAAACCCTAAATGAAACCTTAACGAATCCCTAAATCAAACCCTACATGAAACCCTACAGAAACCCTAAATGAAACCCTAAAACATGTAAATCCTAGAGAAACCTAAAGTGAAATCCTAAAGAATCCCTACATGAACCCCTAATTCATTTGTTTTATTCTCTCCTGTTTGTATCCTAAATGAAACCTTAAAGACCCTGGGTGAAACCCAAAAAAACCCTAAAGAATTCCTGCTAAGAAACCCCTACAAGAAACACTAAATGAACCCTAAAGAAACCATAAATTGACCTAAAGAAACCACAAATGAAACCCTAACGAAACTTTGAATGAAACCCTAAATGGCATCCTAAAGAAATTCCAAGCGACACACTAAAAAACTCTGATTGAAACCCTAAATGGAACCCAAACTTACATCCTCAAGAACCCGTAAACGAAACCATAAACGAGACACTAAAGAAACTGTAAATGACACCCCAAAGAAACCCTAAATAACACCCTAAAGAAACATTAAATGAAACCCTGAATGAAACCCTAAATGAAACCCTAAAGAATCCCTTAATCAAACCCTACAGAAACCGTAAAGAAACCCTAAATGAAACCCTAAAGACATGTAAATCCTAAAGAAACCCTAAATGAAACCCTAAAGAATCCCTAAATGAAATCCTAAAGAATCCCCAAATGAAACCCTAATTCTTTTGCTTTATTCTCTCCTGTTTACCCTAAATGAAACCTTAAGGCCCTAGGTAAAACCCAAAGAAACCCTAAAGAATTCCTGCTAAGAAACCCCTATACGAAACCCTGAATGACATCCTAAAGAAACCCGAAGCGACACCCTAAAAAACTCTGATTGAAACCCTTTAAATGGAACCCACACTTAAATCCTCAAGAACCCGTAAACGAAACCCTAAATGAGACACAAAGAAACCGTACATGAAACCCCAAAGAAACCCTCAAGAGACCTTAAAAGCCTGAATGAAACCCTAAATGAAACCCTAAAGAAACCTTAAAGAAACCCACATGAACGTTTGAAAACCTTGACAAGATTTCCTGATAAGAAACCCTACACAAAACCCTAAATTAAACCCTAAATGAAACACTAAAGAATCCCTAAATCAAACCCTACATGAAACCCTAAAGAAAATCAAAGAAATGCAAATCCTAAAGAATCCCTAAATGAAATCCTAAAGAATCCCCAGATGAAACCCTAATTCGTTTTCTTTATTATCTCCTGTTTGTATCCTAAATGAGACCTTGAAAGACCCTAGGTGAAACCTAAAGAAACCCTAAAGAATTCTTGATAAGAACTCCTGATAAGAAATTCCTACATGAAACCCTAGATGCACCCTAAAGAAACCATAAATTAACCTAAAGCAACAAATGAAACCCTAACGAAACTTTGAATGACACCCTAAATGAAATCTTAAAGAAACCCCAAGCGACACCCTAAAAAACTCGGATTGAAACCCTAAATGGAACCCAAACTTAAATCCTGAAGAACCCGTAAACGAAACCCTAAAATGAGACACAAAAGAAACTGTAATTGAAACCCCAAAGAAACCCTAAATAACACCCTAAAGAAACCCTAAAGAAACTTTAAATGAAACCCTAAATGAAACCCTAAAGAAACCCTGAATGAAACCCTAAATGAAACGTTAAAGAAGCCCTAAAGAAACCCACATGAACGATTGAGAATCTTGATAAGAATTCCTGATAAGAAACCCGTCATAAAACCCTAAATGAAACACTAAAGAATCCCTAAATCAAACCCTACATGAAACCCTACCAACACCCTAAAGAAACCCCAAATGAAACCCTAAAGAGATGTAAATCTTAAAGAAACGGGAAACCCTAAAGAATCCCAGAGAATCCCTAAATGAAACCCTAATTCTTTTGCTTTATTCTCTCCTGTTTGTATCCTAAACAAAACCTTAAAGACCCTAGGTGAAACGTAAAGAAACCCTAAAGAATTCCTAAAAAGAACTCCTGATAAGAAATCCCTACATGAAACACTAGATGAACCCTAAAGAAGCCATAAATTAATCCAAAGAAGCCATAAATAAAACCCTAACGAAACTTTGAATGAAACCCTAAATGACATCCTAAAGAAGCCCTAAACAACACTCTAAAAAACTCTGAATGAAACCCGAAATGGAACCCAGACCGAAACCCTGAAGAACCCGTAAACGAAACCCTAAATGAAACACTAAAGAAACCTTAAATAAACCCTAAGAAACACTAAAAAGACATTAAAACCCTAAAGAAACCCTAAATGAAACTTTAAATGAAACCCTAAAGAGACCCTAAATGAAACACGGAATGAAACCCTAAATAAACACACATGAACGTTTGAAAACCTTGACAAGATGTCCTGATAAGAAACCCTACATAAGACTCTCAATTAAACCCTAAATGAAACCTTAAAGAATCCCTAAATCAAACCCTACATGAAACCCTACAGAAACCCTAAATGAAACCCCAAAGAAATGCAAATCCTTAAGAAACCTAAATGAAATCTTAAAGAATCCGTACATGAAATCCTTAAGAATCCCCAAATGAAACCCTAATTATTTTGCTTTATTTTCTCCTGTTTGTATCCTAAACAAAACCTTAACGACCCTAGGTGAAACCTAAAGAAACCCTAAAGAATTCCTCAAAAGAACTCCTGATAAGAAACCCCTGCATGAAACACTAGATGAACCCTAAAGAAGCCATAAATTAACCTAAAGAAACCACAAATGAAACCCTAACGAAACTTTGAATGAAACCCTAAATGGCATCCTAAAGAAATTTCAAGCGACACACAAAAAAACTCTGATTGAAACCCTAAATGGAACCCAAACTTAAATCCTGAAGAACCCGTAAACGAAACCCTAAATGAGACACTAAAGAAACTGTAAATGAACCCCCAAAGAAACACTAAGTAACACCCTAAAGAAACATTAAATGAAACCCTGAATGAAGCCCTAAATGAAACCCTAAAGAAGCTCTGAATGAAACCCTTAATGAAACCCAAAGAAACCCTGAATGAAACCCTAAATGAAACGTTAAAGAAGCCCTAAAGAAACCCACATGAACGATTGAGAATCTTGATAAGAATTCCTGATAAGAAACCCGTCATAAAACCCGAAATGAAACCCTAAAGAGTCCCTAAAGAATCCCTAAATCAAACCCTACATGAAGCCCTACCAACACCCTAAAGAAACCCGAAATGAAAGTCTAAAGAGATGTAAATCTTAAAGAAACGGGAAACCCTAAAGAATCCCAGAGAATCCCTACATGAAATCCTAATTATTTTGTTTTATTCTCTCCTGTTTGTGACCTACATGAAACTTTAAAGACCCTAGGTGAAATCCAAAGAAACCCTAAAGAATTTCCTGCTAAGAACCCCCTACATGAAACACTAAATGAACCCTCAAGAAACCATAAATTGACCTAAACAAACCATAAATGAAAGCCTAACGAAAGATTGAAAGAAACCCTAAATGAAATCTTAAAGAAACCCCAAGCGACACCCTAAAAATTTCTGATTGAACCCCTAAATGGAACCCAAACTTAAATCCTGAAGAACCCGTAAACGAAACCCTAAATGAGACACAAGGAAGCCGTAAATAAAACGCCAAAGAAACCCTCGAGAGACCTCGAAACCCGAAAGAAAACCTAAATGAAACCCTAAATGAAACCCTAAAGAAACCCTGAATGAAACCTTAAATGAGACCCTAAAGAAACCTTAAGAAACCCACATGAACGTTTGAAAACCTTGACAAGATTTCCTGAAAAGAAACCCTACACAAAACCCTAAATTAAACCCTAAATGAAACCCTAAAGAATCCCTAAATCAAACCCTACATGAAACCCTAAAGAAACCCTGAATGAAACCCCAAAGAAATGCAATTCCTAAAGAATCCCCAGATGAAACCCTAATTCGTTTTCTTTATTATCTCCTGTTTGTATCCTAAATGAAACCTGGAAAGACCCTAGGTGAAACCTAAAGAAACCCTAAAGAATTCCTGATAAGAACTCCTGACAAGAAACCCCTACATCAAACCCTAGATGAACCCTAAAGAAACCATAAATTAACCTAAAGAAACCATAAATGAAACCCTAACGAAAGATTGAATGAAACCCTAAATGAAATCTTAAAGCAACCCCAAGCGACACCCTAAAAAACTCTGATTGAAACCCTAAATGGAACCCGCAAGAAACCCTGAATGACACCCTAAATGAAACCCTAAAGAAACCTTAAAGAAACCCACATGAACGTTTGAAAACCTTGACCAGATTTCCTGATAAGAAACCCTTTATAAAACCCTAAATGAAACCCTAAAGAATACCAAAATCAAACCCTACATGAAACCCGACAGAAACCCCAAATGAAACCCTAAAGAAATGTAAATCTTAAAGAAAAAACAAGGTGGGGGGTCAAAGAAACAAGGTGGGGGGTCAAAAAAATAAGGTGGGGGGTCAAAAAAACAAGGTGGGGGGTCAAAAAAACAAGGGGGGGGTCAAAAAAACAAGGTGGGGGGTCAAAAAAACAAGGTGCCCTATGAATATTATTAATTTTTCATAGACAATTCTGAACTTATTCGAAGCCCCATTCATTGCCACCCTCTCATGGTTGAGGTAGAGAACTCAGCGGTTCTGGAGCAGCATCGTTTTGGAATGCAGATGTCTCTTCTGGGGCAAGGGACTCCAGAGGGCTTTGTAGACCACGAATTTCCGGCACAGGCGCGAAGCATCGATGGTTTGGAGGGCCCCCCTGTACGTCGTGGGCAAGAGGCCCTGATGCAGCTGTTGACTGCTCCAGAGAGGGACGATGACGACGAGGATGAGGACATACCAGATGCACCCCGATGTCCCTGTGGCAGACGTGGACGACAAGGACATGTGCAGGTGAATGGCATGGTAGCTAAGAGGCCATACTTTCGATGTGCAAATCGCAGCTGTCGTTTCTTCAGCTTTGGTGAGCTTGCGTCTTCATCAGAGGCACAAAGCTTTCCTTGGATACGATTGCGGACCTCGGAAACTTCAAATCACCCGTCACGGACGACCCTGTCCCAGTCCCTGGTGGTTGTTGGGCGTGATGGCTTCAGACCAGAAGATGTAAGAGTTGGACAAAAGTCTGAAGCACTTGGGGATGTTGTGTTTCTTGAGGCACTTGCTGTTTTGGCTGAACGTCCGAGTGTTTTGGACAAGCTGTTACCGAACAGTGGAAGTGCAAGTGGCTGTCACGAAGTAAGGCTTTGTGTTGCGGGCCTTTGGCGTTCATTTCTCATTGACGAAAGGTTTCCAATGCTGCCAGCAGCAAACTCGAAGAATCTCCATGAATCCCTCGCTTTTGGGAGATCTGCAGGAAATCAGCTTTGGATTCCTTTATTGGAGAAGGCCTACGCCAAGGCCCATGCTGCCTATCAATTTGCCTTTCCAGCCCCGTTGCAGGTATTCTTGGAGGAGTTGACCGGGGCAGTGGTTGAGCTTGTGCGCTTGGGATCAACGAGTTGGAGCAGCAGAGGGTGTCCCTTTGATGCGGAGGAACTTTGGATTTTTTTGTCACGTCAGGTTGCAGATGGTACGTTGGTGGTTTGCTCTGCTCGATTCGTTCCAGCTGGTTGCTCATCTGTCTTCCCGATTCTGGAGATTGGAGGTAACGGGGATCCGAAATGTCTAAATGCTCGGCTACTCCGCCTGCGAAATCCGCGAGTTTCTGGAAGTCCATCGGGAAACATTTACGAACATATGCTTTCATTGTTGCGAGGGAGGTCAGCAGAGGCATCAACCTATGCAGATGGCTCTTTTTGGATAAACTATGATGATTTTCTGTCCAGCTTTTCTCTGCTGTATGTGTGTCATGCAGCTTCAGCTGGTGGTTCTTTAAAGCATACCCGGACTTTTGAAGGCGATTTCACTAGTCCATTTGATGGTCTGGGCACTCGCGGATGCACCCTTCGTGTCTCGACTCTTTCGACCTGTGATCTGTGGATTTCATGCCTGCAGCCAATTCCAAAAGGAACTCGCCTCCTACAACCGTGCATGGGTCACGTTGCTTGTTCGTACTTGATGAGACTTTTTTTTCGTTTTTCCCTAACAGCGTAAGCTAATGGGGTCTTCAGCCCAGAATAGCTCCGGTGTGCACTGGTGCAGGTGCTGGGTCAGGTTCAACGAGATTCCGGAGAAGGTTCCGAAGGTTCCGGAGAAGGTCTGGGAGGCTTTGGTGCAGAGCCAGGTCACGTTCAACAGGGTTCCGGAGAAGGTTCCGGAGAAGGTTCCACAGAAGGTTCCGGAGAAGGTCGGGGAGGCTTTGGTGCGTTGCCAGGTCAGGTTCAACAGGGTTCCTGAGAAGGTTTTGGAAACGGTCTGGGAGGCTTTGGTGCAGAGCCGCGCCAGGTCAGGAGGTTCCGGTGAAGGTTTGGCAGGCTTTGTTGGTGCAGAGCCAGGTCAGGTTCAAAGGTCCCAGAGAAGGTTTGGGAGGCTTTGGTGCAGAGCCAGGTCAGGTTCAACAGGGTTCCAGAGAAGGTTGCAGAGAAGGTCTGGGAGGCTTTGAAGGTTCCGGAGAAGGTTCGGGGAAGCTTTTTTTGGTGCAGAGCCGGTCAAGTTCAACAGGGTTCCGAAGAAGGTTCCGGAGAAGGTCTGGGAGGCTTTGGTGCAGAGCCAGGTCAAGTTCAACAGGGTTCCGGAGGCTTTGGTGCAGAGCCAGGTCAGGTTCAAGAGGGTTCCGGAGAAGACTCCAGAGAAGATTCCGGGAAACTTTGGTGCAGAGTCAGGTCAGGTTCAACAGGGTTCCGGAGAGGTTCCGGAGAAGGTTCCGGAGAAGGTCTGGGAGGCTTTGGTGGAAAGTGAGGTCAGGTTCAACAGGGTTCCGAGGAAGGTTCCGAACCTTGTTGAACCTGACCTGGCTCTGCACCAAAGCCTCCCAGAACCTTCTCCGAAGGTTCCGGAGAAGGTCTGGGAGGCTTTGGTGCAGAGCCAGGTCAGGTTCAACAGGGTTCGGGAGAAGGTCAGGCTTTGGTGCAGAGCCAGGTCAGGTTCAACAGGGTTCTGGAGAAGTTTCCGGAGAAGGTGTGGGAGGCTTTGGTACAGAGCCAGGTTAGGGTTCTGGAGAAGGTTCCGGAGAAGGTTCCGGTCTGGGAGGCTTCGGTGCAGAGCCAGGTCAGGTTCAACTGGGTTCCGGAGAAGGTTCGGGAGAAGGTTCCAGGAAGCTTTGGCGCAAAGCCAAGTGAGGTTCAACGGGGTCCCGAGAAGGTTGCAAAACAGGTCCCGGAGAAGGTTTTGGGAATCTTTGGCGCAGGGCCAGGTCAGGACCGAATTTCCAGCGCTTGGCTTCGCAGCACGCTTCAGAAAGATCTGGAAAATAAAACGTTGCGGCTGTTGGGGATACCACCGATTTTTTTTAGTATACAGAATGCCCTTATTTTTTTGCATTCAAGACTTTCCTGATTTTTTGTGGGTCCATGCATGTTGCTGACTATTCAGGTTTTGAATGACCTTGGCATCATCATTCTTGACACGAGCAATCATGGTCAGCCACGAACAATTTGCTTTGGAGGAGCCACTGCAGCTTTGAGTTGTCACGTTTCCCTTGCGGCAAACCAAGAGCTCTTGATTTTTCCTGTGAGTTTCCGAAGTTGGCCCGGTCCTGTGTCTCTTGGCTGGTACAGATGTGCTGTGACTTCGGTAAAATGCAAATCGAGTCATGTGGCAAAAACTTATCTAATTCTTCTTGGTTCCTTGAATGGACTCATCCCAGAGGATCTAGTGTTTTTTGGACTGTTGTGCGTGGTCGGGGTACATGGTAGTAGAGTGTGCAGATTCATAAACGCGTGTCTCTCTGTATCAATGCCAGTTCGCTTCGTGTTCCTGAGGTGTTTGAGGTTGCATTCCTCCGAAGCTCTGTGTGTGAACACTTCGGTGCCCAAGGAGTCCGCGTCTAGCGCTCCAGACTTTTTGACGACCTTGTGGGGGAAGGTCTGGGGCCTGGCTGTGGATTTTGGTCCAGAGCTCCTAGGCGAACACAGCCAATGTCTGCGGCGGCAGGTGCCAATACGAGGTGAAGATGGCCAGTCTCTGGCCTCAACGGAGCTGCTGATTTTGCGGATGGAAGCTGCGACATTTCTGATTTTGGAGAACCCGGATGCCACTGAGGCAGGAAGACCCAGATCCAAAGTCCCTGAAACGGTTATGTTTTTGTTTTTGCATATTTACTGTACTGGAATAAAAATCCTGAGGGTTTATGATCTTTCAAACACTGCAGCTCCAAGAACCTTGCCTTGAGGCCTTCATTTTCGATGGAACTGTTGAAGGCAACTACGTGGTAACTCACACAGCACGAGGCGCCCAGCTAGGTGATTGGTGTGAGGACAAGAATGAAGAAAACTTCTCTATTGGAGCTCGGAGTCATTGGAGGCGTTACAATGTCGAAGATATTGTGCCTCCAGCTTCACGGCAATTGGTGTCAGTGCATTTTGCCATCAACTTGGCAGATTGGGATGTCGAGGTGTTATTTGCAAAGGTGACCCTGGCACCCTGCAGTTTGGTTGGACAACGGCCGAAGCATCACCCTTTTGCTCCTCATGGCATTCAAAGCTCTTTGAATTGTGCCAGGAAGGCAGGATACAAAGAACGGGGTGAAACGAAGCAGCCAAGTCATTCGGATCAACTGAGTCACCTGACAGCTGGCGCTGATGAAGATCTCCAAATTCAGTTGGCCTTGGCTTTGTCGCTCCAAGATCTTGGCTCCGTCGCGGAGGCCGGGCAGGGCCGCCGCTGGGCTCGTCGGAAGCAGCTTCAAAATCTTCAAACGACGAATTGTCCAATTTGTCTGGAGCACTTGGAAGCAACTAGCGCCTTGCCATGTTGTGGGAAAGTCTGTGCATCATGCGCAAGCCACTGGGCTGTGGAACAGGAATCGCAGGGCTTGGCTTTTGATGAGATTTCCTGCCCATTTTGCAGTACACATCTTGTCTCCCATGGTTCCCTACTGGCGACCTTCCTTGGGAAAGACGCCTTGGAGAGATCGCAGCAAAGGGTGCGGCTCAGAGAAACCCAACTCAGCAATCAGGATCCCCTGCCATCACATGGAAACTCGGTGTTGCCCAGTGGGGTTTTGATGCGACTGGGTCTGAAACAATGCCCGGGCTGTGGAGAAGGTATGCAGAAGGAGTCTGAGACCTGCCACAAAATGATCTGTCGCAGCTGCCGTGCACGCTTCTGTTTTCGATGTCTTGCCAGGCTGGAATACTTCAATTGCGGCTGCACAGGGGCAGAGCATAACTTTGTGGATCCACTTGATGGCTCCATTCGCTCTCATCAGTGATCGACTCTGACTCAAGTGAGCAATGTGGGCAGATGAAGAGCGTCGCCGAAAAAGCTCGGGATGGTGAGGTTTTCTTAGCAGAGTATTCCCAGCTTCCTTTACCGTAGACTTAGTGCGCTCAGATCATCCATTTTTGCAGATCCAAAAACAAGGGCGATCAAACACATGGAAACACTACAGTATCTCTTGTGCACCAGGAGGGAGGGCGAATCACAACGTGAGCTCGTACCGTGGCAAGGTGTCATTTCCTCAGGGAAATTAGCACGGACGTCCGAAGAAGAATATCAGTCTAGAGTCTAAAGATGTCTAAAGGATAAATGACGGACATACAAGAGTGTTGTCAATGGAATTAGTTCAGTTCCCTTTCATGTTGTCAACTTGGCAAAGACATACTGGCTTGGCTATTAAACATGGGGAATGTCTTTGATTGTCTTCATCGTGTTATGCTTGATCTTAGTAGAACTTGCAGGAGTTTGATCTTTGATTTGAATGACTTGGTGCCGAGTTACATCCGTCCCAAATCAACAGATACTGCAGATACCTGAACTCTGAGGATGGGTATGCTCCTGGTTCTGCCGGTGGTTTGGAGGACCTGTCCACAACTATGGTGGAGACAAACGTGTGAAAGGATGTGAAAGGCAGTCAGCTGGTAAACCCAATATTAAACCTGCCGGGCATGATTCGTGCCACCCGTCTAGGGTGATATTGGGATGGTTTATGGCATTGGGTTTACCTCATTACGAAAGTTACTGTTTGGTCGATGTCGGCCAGTGATGCCACCCTCTGGAGGAAAGTGCCCATGATGGCAAGTGGGACCAGTTCGCAGTGAACAAGGAGATGTTTGGGGCCTCAGTTTCGGCTGCGGCAACCGCATTGCAGCTCTGCAGGCATGCGACATGTACTTTTTCCACCTTCGCAGCGAACAAAGGTATGGCGTTTCAACCACATGGCATGAGGCTGGAAGTGTTTCGAAACATCAATCTCCAGCAACGCATGGAAACCACTTAAGATGGAAGACAGATCAACTTGTTGTGTCGAACAGGTTGATGTTGCGTCCCTGCTGCGGTTGACACCAGGATATCTACACAACCAAGCTGGACAAAAGCCAAGTTCCGCAAGACAAGCGGGACAAGGCTAGCCTGATCAAGCACCAAGTTTGAGATCATCTCTGGCCTTGGTGGACATGTATATAAGTCTCCCCTGTTCACACCAGCTGACCAGATGAACATCACTGCAATGGACACAAAGCACCAACATTTTTGTTGGAAAAACATGAGCCATTGCTGTTTTCCAGGCCGACCAGATTGCGCGTGAAATTGAGTCTGGCAACATGCACGCGGAGGACTGGAACTGAGTTAACGGAAGCTTGAAGATTGAACAACGAGTTTTTTAAATAGAGGCCCGAGATGCTTTTATGAGGTATGAAGGTGGTCCTGGTCCATTGATCATTCTGGGATATTCTGGGCATCTTGCTTCCATCTGGAGGTCACTCATGATTTTTCCAAGCGAGGTTGAAGACAATGTGGATCGAGATGTTGACGGCGATGAAGAGGCCCCGTCTTCTGCACAAGTGGCAAATTTTGCTTGATCATAGGATTTTATGCAAAGAGAGTAGCATCCTCATGAATTGGATGTGTATTTTCAATCTTTAAACATGATTTTTAGTTTTATCGAGAAAAAATGTGCCTCGGCAAGCTTAGGCTCGCTTCAGTGCTGCCCAACCAATGGGTGGCAATTCGAAGGCAGGGGTCCAACCCATGTTTTCGCGAGTTGATGGCCGATGGGCCGTGGGACTGGGTGCTCTGTTGATAGCCGCGATGACAAGGTGCTTCTGTAGAACAGCATTCCCTGGTTTCTCTGAAGCCTTTTCTATCTGGGGTATATGACGGTATATGCAGGTGTAATCTGATATATGCTGTATGCACAGAGTATACTCATTCTCATGATTTCCAGGACGAGAGACCAAACTTGCTTGGATTTGCACAAGCTCGGATGAGAGCCGGTTTATTGTCGCCAAAAATTGGGCAGTCCCGCTTCAAAAATCCTTGAACCATCATGGAAGGTTTCGGGCAAGCAAGTCCTTGCTGGACTAAGATTACCACGTTGAGAACATGCGCAGGCACTCCAAAAGCCGCTTCCACAGGTGCCAGAAAGACCGGGGCAGGAGCCGATTTGAAAGCTGCTGCAGCTGCTGTTTTGGAAGAGGAATTCTTCCAGGAAATCTCCCCTTGTTCCTTGCATATCTGGGCTCTAACCTGCAGCTTGATTCTTGGAGTCTAAGAGGTTGAAATGATGGGATGCCACCTGGGAGTTGTCAGGACATTGCCGGCGGACAAGACAGTCTTGACCTTGGAATTACATTTCACTTTCCGGAATTGATTTGGCACTTGAATGGCACAGTGGCAAAGCTTTAATCTGCAGGAGGAGGTGGAAGGAAAGGAATGATTTCCGAAATGAAGCGCATCAATGCTACTTGGCAGCGCTTCCAATGCAATTGTTTGCTCCAACCAGGTTTGCTGGTCCAAAATGTACACCAGCAATGAAACAGTCGAATTCTGTACTCTTGGCAAAAATCAAAATAGTTAAATGGATGTTGATCTCCACGATGTGGTGCAGCATGACCCATACCCATCTCATGGTCCTTTCTGTTGTGGTTGCAGGCGTTGAATCTCGAGCCAACGTCAGCCAAGCATGACGAAACTACAGCTCGAAGTAGGCCAGGTCTATGACTCTAAGCTAACTGGTTTCATTTCATTATTCTTAATTTATCTTATGTCGATTCATCTTACATCTTGTTTTACACAATTTTCGTATATTTCCGTAGTTTTGGCACCTTACCTTGGTTTGCTTGCTTCAGGGGCCTCGTGGCGCAAGTCTGTGTGGGTTTCCCGCGTTTCTTCACTTGTTCAGGATGAACATGAAGGAAGCCGCCAGGGGCAATGCCCAACGGATGCAAGCAGGAAGCCTACAGGGCCTACATGCGTGGAAAGCTTCTTTCCAGTGACATCATAGTGACAGCATTGGATCACGGTTGAACGTGTCTGCCTGGTCGCATCAATTTATCCCAAGGGAACTTCGCAAGACTTGAAGTCTGAGTTCCAACAGTTGGGAGCCCTAGAACTACACTCTGCTGTCAAGTACTTTTCATACTTCTCATACTTTTCGGCCAAATCTCGCGGTTTCGAAGTAAAATCCATGGGTTTTGGACAAAACAAGCAGAGATTTTCTACTCCTACTGTTGATAGGTCCTTGGAGATCATCGCCCAGCAGGACGCCAAAAAGCGTGGCAAGAATCCTGATGGCAACTCGCAATGGGATGGCCAGAACACTCAGGCGCGGCAGCCATCCCATTTTTATGGCGTAGGACCGTAGGACATTTTTCGAATGGACTGTGAGAGTCGAAAGGGAAGTGCGATGTCAAATTCTTTGGCAGAAGGAATGGGTTAAATTTGTAATCATTGTAATCTCATTCCCCCAATATTGGAAACCCATATAAAGACTATAAAGCTGGTTTAGGATCGGATCTCATTTTCGAGTCCTTGATTGGTGGTATCTAATATTACATCATATGAGGGGGATGGGATTCTGGATACCTACTGGCCCTTTTCCGGCCTCGTGTGTTGCCTGCCCGTGCCAGAACCAGAAGGGCCAGAGCGGCGGTCCTCGTCCCAGCTTTGGCGTCAAAAAAAATCATCCAAATTGGCATTTTAAGAGGGACAATGACTATAAACCAGCAAAACTTAGGGGTACCCCAGTTTCAGACAAACCCATTTTGTAAAGTTTAGATTGCAGTTCGTCATGAACATCAATGCCCAAAAGACATATTCTATTGATAGATATCAATGCCATGGATCATCAAATTTCAAATTCAACCCATATCCAAAGTATGGGCGTCCTATTGGGATCATTGGACTCAAGGCGCGATGGCGAAGGCTGGAGATCAGTCAAGACAGTCTAGTGCTTAAGCTTTTTCGACTGGACATTGCAACTGGACACGGATGTTTTTGGTCCTCATGTTAACTGTTCAAACTTTTTCCAGCCGAGGCAGAGCGGCTCGTTCTCATTTAATCCACAGGCAAAATCCTTCACGTTGAATCCGGCAGCCAGGAGACTGAGCTGTGTGAAACTTGTTGGAACGGCGGGATATTCCGAATGGCTGACTTTAAGGGATTTGATCCATTTATGTACGATGATTCATGATCAATGATTCTTTACCTGTTTTTCTTTTGTGTCTTGACTCAACAGTATTGCCACGGCAGTCAGAATGCGTTGGACAGATTGAAAGACATCTTTTGGTTGTGTGTAGTCCTCCCCTGGGTAGTGTCCTTGCGATCTCCTTCATGTTCAGAGTATGATATCGAATGTAAGACTGCAACAAAACGATTCCATCATTCATTGACGCGGACATTTGGAAGGTGATATATTGGCAGTCTATGATTATATGAATCCAAACGCTCCAATGTCTGTCCTTCTATGGATCCAAACGCATCTGCGAACACGCATGGGTATCTCTTTGCGAAGCCCAGGCCGTTGATTTTACGCCTGGTGGAGGTCAAGCACAGACTCCAGCCAAGCACATGCCTCAGACATCAAGGGACAGAGACTTTCTGAACCAGCCGGGTTTGGTAACGAAGTTTTCAACTCTTTCTATATTTTCTATCCATAAAACAGCTTTGTGTCCTCAGCTCAGCAAAGCATCGCCTTTGTGCCACCACCGGGAGGTCTTCTGCACCTTCGCCCAGCTTCAGCACTTATTCCAAGTGGCTTGGAGCGTTAAACCTTTGAATCACCTTCGAATCAGGTCACCCAGGTCCCATTTCACCCTCAATCAGCTCATCTCAGCTCAGCAATGCCAGCAGTTTGCGGTGACTTCTTTGCTCTGGAAATGTGGTACTCAGGAAGCCCCCTGGCAAGCCGTCACCTTGGCAAAATGCAATCACAATGGACCTTGATCCACACAGCGAATGACTGACGTTTTTCGGTTGCTGGAGCGGCCAACATCATTGCTTTGATTTAGATGTTCACTTTGTGGCACTAGGTCACGAATCTCATGCCACGCCTGTCTCCTGAGGTCATTTAAAGGAGGCCTGTCGGAGATCCTGGAGATGTTCTTCCAGCGAGCCAAGAATTCAACGCCTGATAGGTCCGATGGTGCAGCTATTTGTTTGCAGATTGGACTCGTTGGTAGATTCCTGTTCTTTGTATGTGCCAGTCTTTCAGCAGATTTCTATGGCTTTGAAATCGGTTCTGATGACGACACGCACTTGACCTGACCTGACCCTGCAGTGCCGCGCCTGATTGGCCTGATGCCAAGGGCCCCTCGTACAAGGATGTGCCCACCGGATCAAGTGTTTTTTATTTATAACTTTGAGACTTTGATCTGGAGGACTTGAGGACGGACTGAAAATTGAACAATGTTGAACGTTTGTCAGGTACTTGGCCAGCCCAACCCAAGTGGGCAGCGCGCTGTTGCAGGCAGATCGCTTTTTGCTTTGCACCTGGATTTGTCATGGAAATCGGCAGGTGATTTTAACTGATTTCGGAACTTGACATGGGCAGGTGCAGGACAAATGCACATGCAAAATATGGCGGCACAGGTACTGGTCTTGGCCTGGAGAGTGCATAGAGTAGCGCAGTTGAACCGCGCTTTTTTTGTTTTTCCCAGTTGCAAGGCCATGAGGGGGCCACATGTGATTTTTCAGTGAATATGTTCCAGAAATCCCAAGGCTGGCAGTTGGCAGACGCAGAATCAAGGCAGAGACTCGTCATGGGATGTTCAACGGTTTCAGCAATCCGGGCATGTCTTAATCAGGCCAACAGGGTGGACAGCAAGCCACGAATCAGGCGCACCAAGTGTATGCCTTGGCTGGAGATGGAGAGATGGATTGATTGATGTCATTACTTTGAGAGACTGCGTTTATTGTGCAAGAAGCACAAACCTTTGCAAGTAGTAAGTAGTTTAGACATTTTTAGTCCCCGCTGCAGGTGCAGCAACAGCAACAGGTGCCGTTTTTTATTGAGATTGGTTCCCTGCAAAGCTGCTCTGCAAAGCTGGGCCATGTTTTGATCCAGACACATGGATAGATATGGATAGCAATCTTGCAGGTGCCTCAGCAGAATGCCCCCCAGAATCAGGACGCTGTTGCCTACTCCGAAATGCCAACGCTGATCATGGTTTTCCACATTAAAAAGTATATAACAATATAGAATAGCGTAGTATTGGGGCGTACCCCGGTTGCCAACAATACAATATTCAGGTTGCAAAACGAGGTAGGAACACTCCGTCAAGTGCATTATGTACCAAATATTGTCCCCTATAGACTCAAATATCATAGTGATATCCCTTTTTTTACGCATCAACTGCCATAACATACCACCCATGTATACTGCTCTCATTCCAGCCATGTCCGAAGGACCAGCAACAAGGTGGTCCGAACGTGGGAGGACAAGGTGGGCATCGGATGCAGGACTGTTGAAAGATATACATATAGATATACATTAAATAGAGGTTCGAGATATTTTATATCATGGTGTTATAATATACATTAATATACATATAAATATATATATGATGATTATGCATGAAACAATGAAATATATCCATACATTTTATATAGATATGGGCCTAATATGGGGTAGTTTTTTTTTTCACGTGCAGAATTGGCAGGTGGCATGCCAATGCAGCCCACAATGATGCCGCAAGGCTTTGTTGTGGCCGGGGCGTTGGGGACTCTGAACATGATCACATTGCGAACGGACTGGGATCCGTTGGGGTTGGATTCGAACTGAGGCCGGGTCCTGGTCAAGGCAACCAGCCGAACCAAATGCAGCAGTATGGCAACATGTACCCTGGCCAGCAAGGCGGGCTGCGGCAGTCCATATTTCAGCCTCAGCTATAGAAGTTTCCTGCAGGGCAGCCTCATCAAGGACAAGGAATGGGGTGGGTGGCTCAATCTCTGGCAGCCTGCAGAGACACCACTCACTTCACTCACTTTCCAAATAATCGGTGCTTATTCCCGAGAGCGTCTGAGCGCAGGGTTCTTCCAATAGTGGGGGTCTGTATCTCACCTTCTCATCTTCACACCTTCTCATCTTCACATCTACTCATCTTCACATCTGCTCATCTTCACATCTGCTCATCTTCACATCTTCTCTCACATCTGCTCATCTTCACATCTGTTCATCTTCATATCTTCTCTCACATCTTCTCTCACATCTTCTCTCACATCTTCTCTCATCTGCTCATCTTTCTTCATATCTTCTCTCACATCTTCTCTCATCTGCTCATCTTTCTTCATATCTTCTCTCACATCTTCTCTCACATTTTCTCTAACATCTTCTCTCACATCTGCTCATCTTCACATCTTCTCTCACATCTTCTCTCACATCTTCTCTCACATCTGCTCATCTTCACATCTTCTCTCACATCTGCTCATCTTCACATCTGCTCATCTTCACACCTTCTCTCACATCTTCTCACCTTCACATCTTCTCTCCTTTCTCTCTCCTTTTTCTCTCTCTCGCCTTCTTTATCTTTCTCTCTTTAGGCCGAGGGTGGTGCCGGCGGTGAGTCACGAAACAGCAACCCTTTCGCACGAAATGAGGGTTGATCGGCAAAAACTGAGGTAAAATTGCGATTTTACTTGTCCTGGAGCAACCCTTTCGCACGAAATGAGGGTCGATCGGCAAAAACTGACGTAAAATTGCGATTTATCGTGTCCTGGAGCAACCCTTTCGCGCGAAATGAGGGTCGATCGGCAAAAACTGAAGTAAAATTGCGATTTGACTTGTCCCGGAGCAACCGTTTCGCACGAAATGAGGGTCGATCGGCAAAAACTGAGGTAAAATTGCGATTTTACTTGTCCTGGAGCAACCCTTTCGCACGAAATGAGGGTCGATCGTCAAAAACTGAGGAAAAATTGCGATTTTACTTGTCCCCGAGCAACCCTTTCGCACGAAATGAGGGTCGATCGTCAAAAACTGAGGAAAAATTGCGATTTTACTTGTCCTGGAGCAACCCTTTCGCACGAAATGAGGGTCGATCGTCAAAAACTGAGGAAAAATTGCGATTTTACTTGTGCCAGAGCAACCCTTTCGCACGAAATGAGGGTCGATCGTCAAAAACTGAGGTAAAATTGCGATTTTACTTGTGCCGGACTTGTCTGTGTGTAAAAGCGCCTGTGTGTAAAAAGCGTCTGTGTGTAAAAGCGTCTGTGTGTAAAAGCGTCTGTGTGTAAAAGCGTCTGTGTGTAAAAGCGTCTGTGTGTAAAGTAAAAGCGTCTGTGTGTAAAAGCGTCTGTGTGTAAAAGTGTCTGTGTGTAAAAGCATCTGTGTAAAAACGTATGTGTGTAAAAACTTCTGTCTGTAAAAGCGTCTGTGTGTGTAAAAGCTTTGTGTGTAAAAGTGTCTGTGTAAAAGCGTCTGTGTGTAAAAGCGTCTGTGTGTCAAAGCGTCTGTGTGTAAAAGCGTCTGTGTGTAAAAGCGTCTGTGTGTAAAAGTGTTTGTGTGTAAAAGTGTTTGTGTGTAAAAGCTTCTGTGTGTAAAAATCTCTGTGTGTAAAAGCGTCTGTGTGTGTAAAAGTCTCTGTGTGTAAAAGCGTCTGTGTGTAAAAGCGTCTGTGTGTAAAAGTGTCTGTGTGTAAAAGCGTCTGTGTGTAAAAGCTTCTGTGTGTAAAAGCGTCTGTGTGTGTAAAAGTCTCTGTGTGTAAAAGCGTCTGTGTGTAAAAGCGTCTGTGTGTAAAAGCGTCTGTGTGTAAAAGTGTCTGTGTGTAAAAGCGTCTGTGTGTAAAAGTGTTTGTGCGTAAAAGTGTTTGTGTAAAAGTGTTTGTGTAAAAGTGTTTGTGTGTAAAAGCCTCTGTGTGTAAATGTGTTTGTGTGTCAAAGCGTCTGTGTGTAAAAAGCGTCTGTGTGTAAAAAGCGTCTGTGTGTAAAAAGCGTCTGTGTGTAAAAGCGTCTGTGTGTAAAAGCGTCTGTGTGTAAAAGTCTCTGTGTGTAAAAGCGTCTGTGTGTAAAAGCGTCTGTGTGTAACAGCGTCTGTGTGTAAAAAAGTCTGTGTGTAAAAGCTCCTGTGTGTAAAAGCTTCTGTGTGTAAAAGCGTCTGTGTGTAAAAGCGTCTGTGTGTAAAAGCGTCTGTGTGTAAAAGCGTCTGTGTGTAAAAGCGTCTGTGTGCAAAAGCGTGTGTGTGTAAAAGCCTCTGTGTGTAAAAGCGTCTGTGTGTAAAAGCGTCTGTGTGTAAAAGCGTCTGTGTGTAAAAGTGTTTGTGTGTAAAAGCCTCTGTGTGTAAATGTGTTTGTGTGTCAAATGTGTCTGTGTGTAAAAGCCCCTGTGTGTAAAAAGCGTCTGTGTGTAAAAGCGTCTGTGTGTAAAAGTCTCTGTGTGTAAAAGCGTCTGTGTGTAAAAGTCTCTGCGGGTAAAAGCCTCTGTGTGTAAAAGTCTCTGTGTGTAAAAGAGCCTGTGTGTAAAGAGCGTCTGTGCGTAAAAGCGTCTGCGTGTGAAAGTGTTTGTGTAAAAAGCGTCTGTGTGTAAAAGCGCCTGTGTGTAAAAGCGTCTGTGTGTAAAAGGGTCTGTGTGTAAAAGCTTCTGTGTGTAAAAGCGCCTGCGTGTAAAAGCGCCTGCGTGTAAAAAGCGTCTGTGTGTAAAAGGGTCTGTGTGTAAAAGTGTCTGTGTGTAAAAGCGTCTGTGTGTAAAAGCTTCTGTGTGTAAAAGCGTCTGTGTGTAAAAGCGTCTGTGTGTAACAGCGTCTGTGTGTAAAAGGGTCTGTGTGTAAAAGCGTCTGTGTGTGTAAAAGCTTCTGTGTGTAAAAGCGTCTGTGTGTAAAAGAGCCTGTGTGTAAAAAGCGTGTCTCCATACTAACAACAGAAGACTCTGCTCCTCTACGCTCTCGGGCCATCCGTCGTCTAGTTTTTTTATTGTAAGGTTTTCAGCAGTCTTTTGATGTTCCATTTTTCTGACACCGTCCTGCGGCCTGAGGCAGCCGACCATCGTCTTCAATCAAGCCCCAGTGATGGGGCAAGGAAGTAATCAAATGATGTGGGACACTGAGAATCGGAAGTTTTTTTGTTTCTTTTTTCAACTGCTTTCAAGCTCTTGCATTGCACCTTGGTCGTCCTTTGCCTGTGATTCTATGAAATTATACTTGCACATCTCTAAGGCCGACCATGATTGCGCAAGGCCAGCAAGGGCAAATGGGTGTGACCGCTCCCATGGCCAAGTTCCCTGGCCAGCAACAGCAGATGCTTGTCCTTTCCTCAGCGAGGGTTGTTGCTTTCATGCTGAGTATCTTTGAGAGTCTAAAGCTGTGGGTTTCCTGCCTCAGGTGGTGCCGATGATGCTGGCAGGCCCAAACCAATACGGCAATGGGCAGGCGCGGAGCTGACTTGGAGAAGTTGGGGAAGTTTTTCAGAGAACTTTTGGAGTTTTCAGATCCGAAATTGATTCAGCTCTTGCAGGGCTTCGGCATGCAGGGCCCAATGCAGGGCCAAGGCACTATGCCACCACAAGGTGGCGGCCCACAGGCCTGCGCCTTCACATGTCGCTGATGAACGGACAGTTGTAGCGCAACCATTTTGTTCGGTTCCAATTTCCAACTAAAGGGTCATGATTCATGATTTGTCAGTGTAGAGGTTAAGAACTATATAAGATATATATGTATATATATATAAAGGCTATTAATTAGTTATTAGGCATGTTCGTGACCACCTAATTTTTAAGTTTCACCAGCCAATACTTGCGCAGGGAGATGGTGGTCAAGGGCAGATGATGCAGCAAAACATGTGCCTTGGCTGCCTTGGCGAAAAAAATGTTTGGATGACTTTCATTCTAAGTGGATCCCCATGCCATACGGACGCAGGTACCCAC